CGCCGTGTGTGGGGCCAAAAGGTAGCCAACTAACATAGTCACAAAGTGACTGCTAGTGGAAAAGGTCAGTGCAGAGCACTGAAAAAAAAGGCGGATAATCCTTGCAAAAAAAAGCACTGCGTTAGATACAATAAAATGTGTTTTTATTGGACACACGTGCTTTAAATATGTACAGCTTGTTGTAGACAGCTTTCCTGAACATAAAACAGGAAAAGCCAAAGGGTTTTACAGTCATAGGGTCACTTGAGCTATTTTGAAAATGGCTTTTCGATATATGATTCTCTTTCTATATCGCTTTCTCGCTGTGCAAAGGGCCACAAGCATATCGCTGCTGTTGCCGCTGATGTTACTTACCGCAACTTTGCCGTCTGCCGTCTGCCGCTGCTGCAGCAGCAACATGGCCAAAGCGCAGTGCAGCATAAAGTGTTAAATTGGATTAATCCAGAAGATTTACGCTGCGGGTGATATCAGCATGGCAACGTAGCAACAGCTACGGCGGCAACATGTTGATGGTGCTGCTGCTGCATCAGCCGGCAGCAACACTTGAGCGGAGTCAGCAATTTTATTAAAACCGGACGCTTACTTCAACACCACCGGAAATGCAACAACGACCGCGGCGGAAAGTGTGTCAATGTGTGTTGATAATGGTGTTGCACGTTGTCACTGTTGTTGTTGCTGCTCTGGCTGTTGCTGTTGCTCTACCTCAACGTCAGCGAGCATGCAAATTTTAATACAAAATTGGGATTACCGCCGAGGCGGCTATAACCACCAGCAACAATCGAGAACCGACCCAAGCCGACCCGACCCAGGTTGTTCTGAACTAGTTGCAAACAGCAATAACAAGCGCTGCAGCAGCAACACGACGGCATAATAATGCCTCGGCAGCAGCGGCATCAAGCGGCAGAAGTGCATTTCTGCGAGCGCGTTGATTATCCCAATCAGCAACACTTTACCAGCGTAAATCTATTTAATTTGCCATTGGGCCCCCATGCAATCCGACCACAAATCAGCTGTTCGGCCGTCGCTCTTGTTAAATGTAATTGAACCTGTTCTTAAAGTTTTGTTTCGTAATTTATTATTGGCGCATGAGAGTGGCAAGATGCAGGCCGAAAAGCGGAGAAAATAGCCCCAGTTGGGAGCTTATTGCTCATAGCTCCACGATCGTCGTCAGCTGAGTGATCATCAGCGGCAGATGATGATAACGATGATGCTGATGATGATGATGACTGAGCGGCCAGGCATGCGAGGATCGCGCGCTCCTCTTAGCCAAGATCGTGCCTGACGCGTAATTGATTATTACGAGAGTGCAACAGCAACACCAGCAACCCAGCAGCACCAGCAACACCAGCAACCCAGCAACACCAGCAACATGAGGAACATACCAGCGTAATGATGTATTAGTTAAACTTGGCCAACCGGTTCGCATTTCGGCCATGAAAAACGGTTTAGAATTAGGAGCCGTGATTACATACTTCTGGTGCCCCATACTACAGTCGCGAGTGCGTTGAAATTGAAAAGAAGTGGGCATCATGTTGGTTTGTGGCTGTTGCCATGGCTGCAGTGCCCCATGTGGTCATGTGATGGGTATCCGGATTGGAGTGGGGCTAAAGCTTTTGGAATGTTTCCGTAAATGAGGTGCTCTTTTATTGAGTAATATGAAGGAATTCAATTAAATATCATTACAAAAGTACACTATAAATAACAAGCTCTGTAGGAAGTTGCATTGTCAAGCTAAGTTAACCGATACGCTATATTTAAGGCTTTTCAGCATTTTCCGCAGCAGTTTGCAGGGCCAACACTCCAGCAGCTGGAAGTGCAGAAGTGCAATACATATTGAAGTCCTATAAGCGAACTCGTATCTAATGGCACCGGCGAAATTGACAGCACAAAAAGCTATGCAGGGCCATGCCGACAACGAGGGCCATAACTCATAAACTATAGCACATACCAAATACCAAGGGTCTACTGTGTGCCGCCACACGAAAAACTCCAATTTTAATTGCTCGACATTAAACGATCGACGACGAGCGAAACTTGGGCTTTGGTATATAGCCGATATAGCCCACAGTCGAGCACTGCGGACCACAGCAGTGCCATAAAATATGCACGTTTCGTTTGTTTGCCGTTGGTTTGCATATGTCCCCATGCCCAGACCCATCCACATGCCCTCTGCACCACTGCCCCTCTGCACCACCAATCCAAAGAGCCCGGCAATATGGTCCGTGAATCGAAAACTGAGACTGAGACCAAAACCGCGCCGAAGCAGACAGCATTTAGCGTACGATTTGGCGGCGCGAAAAAGATAAACTCATAAATTATGGCATTGAATGTCACTTCAGCCACCGCGAACGCCGACAATGGCAACAAACTCCGAATCCCCGATTCCGAATCCGAATCCGAAGCCACAGCCGCAGCCAGGATGCGGGAATGGAAGTGGGTGCGCGGTTGGGGCACTGGCGATAATGAAGCCCATTTTAAAGTCACTACCATTCAATGCGATTTGATTTACAATCCCATTTCGATTATAATCGATGATGATGTGTGTGCGCGCTTCGGCCGAGCCATGAACTTGCATATAAATACCAATCTGTGTCTTTGCCAGTCTCAGACGCAAAGTTGGGCAGTTGGGGCGTCGGGAAGATGGGAAGTGGGTAGGTGGACTTGGGTGCCGGGATTTGCTAAGCAGAGGGGATCGGGGGACGGCGGTCTCTAGCGGTTTTCCAAGGAAATCGAAACGCTGCCGCAGATCCGCGCAGCAGTTCAATCTTGTCTGGCCGCAGGGAACAGGCAACTGGCGCTGCACAGTGGGGCATAGTAGGCAGTAATAGATACATTTATTCATACAGATATATTTCCAACATGAGATTAACTGATTCTCTTCTTAAAATCGAATGTATTATATTGAAACCTCGCACTTAGCGTGATATCATAACATACTGTGTACTAGGCAAAGCGATAATACCACTGTACAGTGTAGTCTGGCTATCTTGTCCGCCCGTCGTCTTACCTGTTGGCGCAATTGAACTTGTATGCGCTGCTGCAGCGGCGTTTTAGTTTAGTTAGCCCGCCAACTTGTCAGACAAACGAATGCGGAGCTAACGAACCCCAACGAGCAACCACCCCACAACCCACATCACCCTGACTGCCCCGGCATACCAATCCACCAGAGCAGACCAGGCCGATGCCAACCAATCCGATCCGATCCGATGCACTGCGACCACGGCGATCATTGTCGCATCCGCCACGATGGTGGCAATTGTTTTGATGGCCGCTGATAACTGCAACGGCGGGGGGCAACCGATTCGACTCCACTCGATGCCACTGCGGACGGAGCCCCAAAGACAACAAAACCCCGACAAAACGGAGTTCAATACAATGGAACCTTATATATTTTGTCACCAGTCTGGCAACGGTTCTTTATGGCCTTTTAATTGAAGCTGAGACCATTAACATTGGCCCAAGCGGTTCGGCCCACGCGATGGAGCTTAAATTTATTACAACTTAATTGTTAATGTTTGCGTTGCTGTTTGCCGCTGTACGAGTATCTGCTCAGCTTACGAATATGTCTTCATTTTTGGCATTACGCCCACTCAATGAAGGCATCGAATGGGTTTCGGGCGGTTCCCCAAACCGGACGTGACTTAATTTCTACACAGAACTATACGGCTGGAGAGGTTTTCGGTACGCGACAGTTTGGTGTGATGGTGATAAAATCGGTGTAGCTTTGTTAAAACAAATTAGTGACCAATAACGAGCAGCTGTTGTGCCGCAAGTAGCTCTACTTTCTTTACTGATTCCTTCTAGTTAGGATTCTAATTATTAGATGGTATCTAGTCTATATACTATATTACTATATTTCTTTTTGTAAAATAAGTAGATTCCGATTCTCCCATTGCAACGCCCACTATCCCTAGATGGCGAAATGGATTTCCAGAGGATTTGCTTCCCAGGCAATTAGTTCAAATGCAGTGTGTGACGGTGATATAGTCGCCCACTTAGTGGGCCCGCTAGCGAAATGGCCTAAAATATGGCTACCAACTAACGGCCATAATTTCATGAGCAATTTTGGGAGCCAGCCGAAGGAGAGAGCTGGCCTTTGGATGGAGGATCCGGGGAAGGAAGACAGCTCGCATGGCCACGGACGATGTTGCTGGCAAAGTGCAGTGATAAATCAGATTGTCACTTTTGTATATTTGCGCCAACTGACGCCGCCGTCTCCCTTGAAACTCAGTTGCACGCATGCGAAAGCAGCCTTTCGATGCGATTATGCACAGCGGCGGGCACTTAAATAGGACACACTTCAAATTACGCGCTAGGAACGGAACTCCAAATGGTACAGACTATATTTTAAATATGTGTGCTACTAAAAATGTAAGCAGCACTTCCCGCAAACTAAGCTACTTGACACATTAAAGTTGGAAAAGCAGTCCTATTTTCTTGAGCACAGCTGTATCGCATGCAGGCGAACACCTAAAATGCACTCGCAAAAAGGGAAGGGAGCCAAAAGCGGCAGAACAGGAATGCATTTCACTTTGCCAACAGGCAGCGCAACCAGTCATAATTATTATTATTTTGATTATTGCACCTGAAAGATGACATTATTAACATCGCTAATGTGGCGAAACGGGGATGCCTTATACATGTACTTATACATGTTACCCACACACCTAAGGTTGTGACTCACTGCGAGAAATTGAACTTGACTCTTTAATATTTGTATTACAAATTCTGAAATGTTACACAAGTGAGCACTTAGTGAAATCGCTTTCATTGTTTTAACAGAACTCATTTAATTAAACGGGGAACAATGCAATTGGCCATTGTTTTCCACTTTTATGTGTTTAGTTGCAACTCTTTAGAAAAGTGAGAATGGCCATTCAAAACTCCGGAAAATGTGTTTGTACAATATAATTGATTAAATATTGAATTAATAACTAACGCTGCATAAACTGGTTATTGAAAGTGTTACAGACTTATTTGGAAATATACAGAACAAAATATAAATGTAATATAGGAATCCGATAAAAGTATGATTGAACTTTATTCAAAAATGCAAAAGTAATTTTTTTTTTATGAAAATGAGTTATGAGTTGAGTATGGTAGCTTCTCCATTCAGCTACAGGAAATCAACCGCCTCATCACGATGGGGTTCCGGAATCCTCGCGCGACGTAGTTTCTCCAACTGATTGGCCTCCTCCTCGTCGAGCTGCCTCGAGGAATCGATGTGTCCCAGGTACTCCGACGGCTGGGAGCAGTCCATTGAAGTGGCCTCCTTCCAACAGGGACTCTTCAGTTGGTCCATGATCTTCAGATGCCGATCCGCACAATAGGGCTCCACAATGATGTAGTGCGGATCATCCGTCAGTGGTCGGTCGTAGATGTGATTTCTCGAGGCGATTGCTTGCTCCTGGACACGTTTGATGTATTCAGGCCGGCTTTGGGCCAACATATTCAAGGCCTCCATGTTTCTGACCTCATCCATGACCACAAGATCCCCCGAAGAGGATTGTCCGGTGCAAATACTGCCCTCTGGATCGGCGAAAATAGCCTGGATATAGCGCAGCACGTGCCAGATGTGGTGCTGATCCTTGCGCCACTCTTTCAGGAAGTGCTCCAGATCCAGGGTCCTATTCTGCGGACAGATGTGCGGATGTAGGATCCCCGTCGAGAAGACCACCGTCAGCAGGCTGACGTCATCCGGAAAATTCTCCGGCAGCAGAATGGAGAAGCGAAACACGCTGCCCGCATAGATGCCACTGTGCACAAAGATGACGCCGAACCAGTGCAATGCACAGGCGTAACTGGGGATCGCGTAGATGTTCTTCAGCTCCTCCTTCACCAGGTTGTACTCGGCCAGGATATGGTATCCCTGTTTGATGAGGGCTATCCTTGGGTTGCTCTCCGTGGAATACCACATGGTGGTCGCACTGTTCGGCTTTCGCACGAGTTGGTTGCAAAAGCTCCGCCAAATATTTAAGTTGCCACAACTCAAGATTTGGAAGAGCTCGTGGAATCCTGCGGCAGGTTTTGGAAGTGTAAAGGCCAAGAACTGGAATGAAATGAAAATGTTACAAATTTTTGATAGGAAATGCCTCGAAAACTATTAACTACTTAAAATTCGTTTGATAAAACGAAGAGAATTTATGATAGCAAACTAGAATATATATCTTTTGCAAATCAATAGCTGAATTACAAATAACCATGACAAGTAACCAACTTCATTGTTTTACGACTGCGGTCAGTGTATTTTTATTCGAATTACGTGTGTACTCACATTTATGCGGCATGTCAACTTACTGCAAAACAGCGAATTCGACCTGCAAACGGGAATTTTCCGCAGAAACCTCGAAAAGCTGTGTTTGTCCAGTCACAACTACATACTGTAAGCCCCGATTTGCGAGGGGAGGTGGAAATCCCCTGCAGATGGGACTGGAACTGGGGATCTGGAACTGGTACTCAGCGGCGTATTCAATCATGTCAAGTGTAATAATTTTGCGAATAGCAGATACACGCAAAAACCAAGCCCGCAGCCTTGGGGAGTTGGGGATTTGGAGAACTGGGTACCTGGAAACCTGGGTACCTGGAGGACCAGGAGATGGGGCTTAGACCACATCGCATGTGTGAGTGCGGATATTTGATTTATTGTCGCCATGATGCTCTGATGTACGGTTCTTTCACGCACTGGCAACATAATGTGGCATTATAATGTCGCATGTACCGGCCATGTGGACTGGTGTTTCGGCTCTGCGTCCGTGTGATTTGTTATGAATTTATTATGTGACGGAAGTGGCTGTGGCACGACTAAGCCAACTCGCAACTGGCCAAACAGGCCAGTTGTTTGCATGCCGATGACTATGCCGATGGGCACAGCCGCTAATTGGCCATGTTCACCTTTCCTCCTCGAGAAATGGTTCTTTGGAAAATGGAGATATTTGATATATTTGACACTTTTTGCGGGCGATGTGTGGGTGTTTCTATTTTTCAATGCATTAAATCGAGCGGTTACTAACGCAATTCAACCTGGTTAATACAAGCGAAGTCAAAAGAATACCTTATAGGGTATAGCCAGCTTCGGCTTTCGAACTAAAATGTTTCTTCTTAACGATTTTCTTCGAAATTTATTTATTTTGGCAAAGAAATCCAAAGCACACTGACAGAGGCAGACAGACAATAACACTTCCTTGATAAGTTCAGCCCAGAAAAGGGAATGAAACGAATGAATAAACGTGCAAAAGATAAGGGAATTGCCAAAAGTAATGAACGGAAATCAAAGTTGGTGTTGCGGTGCTGGATCTCATTAAAATTATACCGCGATACGAGGCGATATGATACGTTATGATTTGCGACTCCGCAAAGGCGAGACTTTCTTTATTTCCCTCGCTGCGAATGGGACTCGATCCGACCTGGTGGTTAACGCCAGTTGTCTGGGTGCCCTGACATGGGTGCAACACCCAGGCGTGGCAGGGGATTCGCGGCCACATCATTTTCACCTACAATGCCTCAGGGCGGCACCCAGAGAAAAACAAAGTTCTCGTTTTTATATGCCACCGATAGCAATCTAAAAACTGTAGAACTCACTTATCTTGAAGATTTGTTCTGCTCAAATAAGCGCATCGCAAGAAATACATATACATACTTACTGAAAAATAAGTGAAAACACAAGTAAGCTGCATTTCTCCAGGTGTAGGCAGCCCATGTGATATGGCTTGGCCCCAGGCAATTGCTAATATGTGGCCCGATTCCGTGGATTGCACCTGTGGGGGATGTGGACTGGGATTGGGATACCGCTGCCCGTCACCTGGCCACAAGTCCAGCATTCAATTTGGGATTTCATCCCAGCTCAAACTCTCATATGCGGGCAGCAATTTCTCCGCCTTGCTGGCTGTCCTTCTTATCAGCTTTCTTCATTTTATGCTGCGTTGCCTTTCGGATCGAAAAACACCGGCTATCCAGAAAACCCAGCGACGCAGCAACCAGCCCGATTTTGAGGTCCGGCATTTGTAATACGGTGGCATATAACACTTAAGTGCCTGTTGTTGTTTTATAAGATAAACTCTTGCGGGGCCCACATGCGGCCACTTTGGAGGAGTCGGCGGATAACGCGTTGCCAATTTCATTTACTGGCACTTTCATTAACCAACGCGAACAGCCCCATACACCATGCCCAAAGAGCCAAAAACCAAGTAAAAAAGACACACAAACGGCATCAAAGTCGAATAAAATAAACGAATTGGCGTGTTTTAAAGTTCTCGCTGAAAGTTGCGGGTTGGCCGCAAATATTTGGTCTTGCTGCAGTGGCAGGGGATTTCCACGAACTGCGCTCAAATGAAATGGGCTCGTATTCCAGATTCGGTGATTGCTATCAATCAGTTATATATGGTAAGGCACCGGAGTGTTGTACATAGGAATAAAGTGCATTTGCCCATTTGTTTAGCCCCTTTAAACGATCCATTTCAATTTCTCAGCCATTTAGAAGCCCTTGAGTCAGAAGAATGGCAACTATCAGTGGGTGCACTATGAATTATGAGCATGCAACTAATCCTTTAGGTGGCTGTGGCATACTTTCGGGCAGTGTCATAAATAGTGGCCAACTTAAAGCCAATGTGTGGAAATGTGAATCATTTTCAGCCAATATTGATTTATGCGAAAAGTGTCGGGTGGGAAGGAATATGGCGAGGTTATTGGTTATTGGCTAAATTCAATCCCAGACTCCGGAGTGCACTGTGTGTGGCTTATTCAAATTCAAATTAGATTATATGCAAACACCGACCGCTCTTTCACTTGCCGTTCTTTATTATTATATAGGAATGCCGACCGAAAGGAGCAAAAACAACGACGGTCTACTAATATTTGCATAATCGCAGGCAGCTCAAACGAGGCTGAGCCGAGCTGGCCAACATGCGGCAAAGCAATTATTTCTTTAAAAATAAATTGCATGCACAATTGGTAGCAATAGCAATTGCAGCAAAAGCAGTAGCGGTGGCAGTGGTAGTGGCAGTAGCACAAGTTGGAACAACAAAATACCCACGGAGGACCACCAGAGAATGGTTGCCATCCAAACGAATCGCAGTTGGAATATCTGCCCGACGAATTTGGTCAGAACTTCTTTTTCTTTTCTTATTTTTTTTTCTTTGGTTTATTTGTTTCCTTTTTTATCTCCTGGCCAAGGCAGGGGCGGCGGCTGGACGGGGGGCGTGGCAAGTAAGCTCGATTTTGCGATTTGTGTGTACGCCTCATTCGTTTATTTGCATATCGATTTGGAGTTTTTAGTCCGCCAGAAACCACTAGCTTCCCTGAGAGTTTCCCCCAAATACTTGGGCATGATTTTATTTGCCCACAAACAATTGCATAATTGCCCTCCATCCGCAGTCTTTTGGCCAAGCATTTTGCTCGTGGACTTCAGCCTGAATAAGTATGTACAAAGCCTGAGTCTCAAGTGCAAATTCAGTTTTTATAGCACTCTTATGAAATCTTTCTGGCCATCACTCGATGGGTGACATAATGCCAGCCGATCTGCTCGATAAGCACGTCCCATAAGCTCCATTCCATCTGGTAGGTGGGTGGCATGCCGATGGGTGCCAAAGTATTAATACGCCCAACGACCGGAATTCTTGGTAAAAGTTTTCGGGCAGTCACGTAGCCATAACGCGTTGGTAAGTCCATTGTTGTTGCCGTAAAATTGAAAAGTTTTGTGGCCTGAAATTGGGACCATCAAAACTGGCATATGGGCCAGAAGTGGCTTCGCCGTTTAGAACTTTGAAATACCCCCAGTTGTAATCACATTTAAGCCACAAAGTAGGTTAGTCTTAAGTGGCAGAGAAAGTCTGGCTTTCATCGAACGTATTTAAAAATTAAAATTTGAAGATTTTAAAATTTGTATTTCAGTTACTGAACATGCCTTCCACCAAGTGAGCCTGTCTAGGTCTAGGGTGTCTAATAATCCATTAAGCTAGCGCTGCAGACTTTTCCAACTGCCTCGGGAAATAATTAAAATTTCAAAAAACTCCCCACTGGCTTTTGGGTTTTTTTCGCATTTTCGTTTGCCTTGCTAGCTGCACAGTCAGCCCTTTGACCAGCCAACTCTGAACGGGTGAAGCCCTCCAAGTCAGTCACTCTCATTATGTCCGCTCGCTTTATCATGTTCCTTGTTGACATTCGCGCGGACGCAAATGAAGCAATTTTCCTGACATGCAAAACGTGCAACAGTTGCGACTGTTGCAAATGGGCATTGGATGGGGAATTGGAATTGGAATTGAAATTGGAGCAACTGTTGCTGTAGTTAATTTTCGTATATTTAATTCGCTTTAAATTATTGCAGAGCGACCATGACGTTGGTAGCTGGCCGCTCTTTGATGTGCGCCCCGTCACCCATCAACCCATCGCCCCATCACCCGTTAGCCATTTACCATTAACCATTAACCATTAGCCGGGCCAAAAGACGAAACGCCAAAGGTAAGGCCAGCAAAAAGGAGCAGTCTGTGCCGCTCGAGCTTCGAGCTTCGAGCTTCAAACTCCATGCGCTCCAACTCCAGCTCAGTGATCCATCTGTGCAATTTGCAAGGCAAATCAAAGGCCTAATGAATTCATTTCAATTAAACAAACAAAAAGCGAATCAAACCACAACCGCATCAACGGCAATAGACAGTTTGCATTAATAAATCGTTTAGCTGGGAGCTCGATTTCGTATATCTCCGGGCCAATCCATTTGAACTTGGCATTTGTGGTTGGAGTGGAGCAAAAAGCAGTACAAAAAACCTGGTATTAATTGATTCTGATCTTTGAAGTTCGGCCCATGCAGCTGCCAACCGAAGAATGGGGCTCACTTAAAAGGTTACTACTCTTGTAATTTGTGTCCTCTTTTAATGAGTGAGTTAAGCATTAGTACCAGTGCTATTGCAAATTTTACTTCAAAACTTTTGGTTTGGATATACACAAAATTGTTTATATATTTTACAGCCCGCCCATAAATCGATGATGTTTATTTGGTGAGCATTCCAGACCCTATTTGCAAAGAGCTTAGGTTTAGGGTCAGTCACCCAAGTCTCTGCGCTTGCTCCCCTTTTTTGGAAAGCGGCGGACAGCCGACAGCCGAATGGCTGATAAGCCTTAAGCTGCTTAATCGATGACCAGGGAGTTGTCAAAAATAATTCACAGGCAGCGGCAGCGACTGAAAGGTAAATACAAATACAGGAGGACAGGAAGGCAGCCCCGGCGTATACGTAATGTTATCAGTTGTGCAGATCTACCCTTTGGTGCTGCCTTAATGCTCGCTGGAGAAGAAAGGGGGCCATCCGAGGAGCGGCATCCCATCGGATGGCCAAATCAGAGTCTCCGCGTCGCGGGCCCTTACATGAGAAATATTTTAGCGTACAATGCAAAAATGGTAGCAGCTTCGCAGCGTTTCCTTATCAGTTGCAACTCCGCTGACGGATGCACCCAAATAAAAAACAAAAAATATACAGAAAAATCGGTAAATACAACAGGAACGGGGGATTAAGGAGGAAACAAAGCCAGAGGAGGAGCCGAGATAATGCCACAATGAAGACAGCATAACGCGCCGCTGTTGAAAAATCGCTGCTCGAGCCTGACCAGATGGATGGAGTGGATGCGTCCGCATCAAGATAAACGAGCGTGCGCCCTGGTCTTTGGTTTCAGGATTGCTTGGCATAATAGTACATACACACGTATGTACGAGTATATTCAGATGTATCTGCCCAGCCACCGTGAGCCGAAAATCAAAGCTATAATAATGCATAAGTAATTTGCAGCAGCCGAGGCGGCGGCAATCGAAGAGAGGCATCAGCCCGCAAAGCTCGTGCCACGAGCTCCTCCTTGACAACAGTTAATCAAAATCCGCGGAAACAGGGCCAAGACAACTCAAGCACACTGCCTGCCGGATTTTCTGCTCCACCCCGGGCTGTTATTTATTAACTGCGTAGCATTTATCGGCACATCGTCGGAAACCGCCCATATTTAAGGGAATCGTATCAGAGCGATTCAAAGGCTCACTATGTCATTTAAAGTTACTGAAAATACTTTTGAAATTATAATATCAATAGTAGTAAGGTATAATGCTCTTGCCTTTTACTAGTTTTAGGCTTAGCAATAAAGATAAAGAAGCCAAGAATAAAT